GTTTTGAAATTGCGCTTTGGATTTAGCCATTTTATTGAACTAAGTTATGATTTATTTTTCGTTTATAAATATGGTTTCAAGACTACCAGCAAAGTATATATATATGGGATGAAGACCCGGACGAAGTGAAAATTTCTGCCAAGGCTGGGCAAGAATACATTTTGGGAGGCAACACTATGTGAAATTCAATAGATATCTAAGGCTTAATCATATAATTGTGGGAAAATTCAACTTCCCTCATCACCGTTGTGAAATAGAGTTATTATATATCCGATATACGATGATCTAGTGGTAGTCTCGAAAATCTACTTATAACTATAAACAAGTAGTATAGTCGACTGCTACAGCAAATACAATTTCACGTTATTTTCAATGCCACCAAATAATGTGATAAGGGAAAAGTGTCTTGCTTTGCTTGAAAGGTACACCTACCCTGTGACCTAAGGGCACTCGTGACGATGTGGCGTAGTGGTTTACGTTTCTAGAGTAAATCAGTTAGACGAGATGTATATTCAATTGCCACTCCTTCGTCACTTGAAACGAAATAGGGTAAATACAACCCATATATGTTATGACTTTCCCGATACTCTGTACCCCCTCCCCCTCCCCATTCTGTAAGAGAGGGTATTGGATCCGGCCTGAGAAGAAATAATTGCCCTGGAGTGTAATCTCATGCCTCAGATGGTATGGCAAACGATCCGGCAGACTCCTCTTTACCTGTCAGTAAGGGGGGGCGGGTAAAGGAAGACCTTGAACGTACAGGCGGGTCGTCGACCCATGAGTCTAGGCCTATGTGAGAAGTTGAGCTTATCTGATAGGATGTTCCAATTCAGGACAGTAGAATTAAAGCAATAATGGAGCGCCAAAATTGAGCCATCATGTACATCTTCATCAGTTCCAAGGGGAAAAGTGTAAGTTGAGCAAATACATGTCATCAAATACATGCAACTAGTCGGCGTCAGAAATGACTTGTCATGTAGTGATGTTCGCGTCTGGAAACTCAGCATGAAGCTGATTAGCAAAACCTGACCAAACAAAATGTTAAGTCAAAGCATGTTTTGTGCTTCCTTTTGGTGTACATACAAAGGAGGATTCGAACTGTACAATCGAGTTTTAAGTAGAAACTCGGATCATTTAAGGTGACTAAGGACTGCATGTGGATTTTTGTTGTAATAAAATCTGCAATTACATTTAATCCAGCCTCGCCTCCCAAAATGTTGCCTAATCCCAGCTGGATTGGGGGCCCACCCCAAATGGAACGCAAGACTGGATTGTAAGCATTGTTATGGCGACTGCCTGGAGAATACAGTTGCCTGAGTTACACAACACTCTGAGTGGAACTTTTGAAATCTCAACGGCCATGGTACTAATGCCGGGATACCTCAGCCGACCCAAAAAGAAGATGGAAGATATGGTATGTAGAGCCGGAGGGATCATTTGTTTAGATGTAAACGAAAGGACACTGGGTTTTTGTCTTAGGGCTTAGTGAAATTTCCACGAGCATCCTTTCATGCTTTGACGATGTCTGTCATGCAGACAGGTCAGGAATAATGCGCACAATTTGTCTGGTGCAAATATCGTGGCATTTAAAATAATACTAGTTAAAGGAATTATAGCATACAAGGTCATGTAGTTGGTAACATATTGTTGAAAGAGTGCAATAAACATTCCAAAATGGTAAACATTTTCACCTGTTTTTAATGTAATATACAATATAAGGACAATCAAAAGGTATGGAAAGCCAACGGTTCACTATAAGTAGAGCAATACAGTGTAGAAAGCATCATCATATGTGCACAATTTCTTAGTAAGTAAATGTAAATGTAAATGTTTCCGATTGCTCTTTGCTCCATAGGCTGCAATAAAGATGTGTTTGCTGGTGAAAAGAATACTTTTACACTCTCACTCAAATCTATACTTGCACTATTTATATGCCTAGAGGCGGCTTTTAAGTTGCATCCATCTGATGTCGCTTTACCTTTTTCCTTTATTCACCGTAACTTTGATTTAAACAATTTAACAACTGCCAATTTTAGAATTACTATCAGCACGTTTTTGTCTTTTGATTATATCCACTTTTTGCTATAATATAACAACAAATAGCTTCTTTTATTGATCTCTAATGTCCACTTTAACATTAATCTCCTTGTCCATATTAACTAAATGGCTAATATATAATTTTTATTATGCGTTATTACACATATAAAATTGGATAGCCTGACCAGCATCAACATGTGCATATGGTCCAACGGCCTAAGGATACATGGTGCGTGCTTTTCACTGCCTTTTGTAATCCGCAAGAATAAATACTTAATTGATTGCGACTTGATATTAATCTACAATTCATGCTAAATCGTATTTTGCACCCCTCGAATTCACACCAATTGCCACCTACATGTACTTCTAAAATAGGTAAAGTCCTCGATTGAAATGACAAGTGACAATCCCACTATTTAAAAATTGTCATTTGAGTGAGCCCTGTCTTGCCTCGAGTGCCACGTCTGCCCTGCGATGCATTTGAACCCGCGGTTGTGCAGTCGCAGGGTTACGCCCCCACGATACTCACGACTGGGGTTCGAATCCCGTTAGGGGTGATGGCGCAAAACGATAAGTCGAGGTTGAGTCCACTCGGCTTTTCGGTAGGCAAGGCCAAATGACGTTTAATTGCCTCCTGAGGCCTACTCATATCATTTGAGGAAGACTCAATTAGCCCTCCTCAAGTCGCAAATGACATTCTCGAAATCGAACTGGATCAAAAACGGGAAATACTTGTTTGCTTCGCATTATGCGTCCGATCTAGTCGACTGGCACCCTTGGCTGTCATAGCTGAGTGGTAGAGTGTCGCCATGATGTCCACGACGCGGATTAAAATCCTACCGGAGGCGCTGATGAGACGATGAGATGAGGTCGAAACTGTAGTATAGTCTGGATGATATTAGACAGCATCCTTTGGCCAACGCAATTATTGTAGAAAGTCCACTTAGACTACCTTTAAAAACCTGGATTGCCAAATTGAAGATATGTAGATCAAGAAGTTGTGGCCTCTTCTCCTTTAGATTTATAAAAGTGGGTTGACCTCGTTGTCGCAACTTGGTCTTGTTGTCAGGGAAACTTAGTAGTAGTGGTTGTCATGATGCCCAGCATCAGACCGTGGACTTGGTACATTCTCAGACGTTTCACCGGCATCGTAATCGGCATCATCAGTGAGTGTTACCATTCTCCGCACGAAGCTACGAACTACTCAAAGAGACAAGAGAAGTCAATCCCTCGAACGTGTTGCCGGCGAAACGTTTGAGAATGTACCAAGTCCACTGTCTGATGCTGGGAATCATGACAACTCTAAGTGCGTTCTACTAAGTCGCCCTGACAACAAGACCAAGTTGCAAATACGAAATCGACCTACTTCTGGATTGCCAAAGTTCATAGTAAAGAGTTATCAAAAGTTTGTAAAGATGCTGAAAGATGCAAAATCTATTTTTCGAATTAAGTATTGTTGTCGTGACTACCAATAAATAGGTAATATGAGATTTATTCCCCTAATTTCGTTTAAGGTGATGAAGGACTCCCGCTGAGGGTGTTGATAAGCCCAAAACGAGCTCGAAACTGCAGTCCACTGGTACTTGGATGAGAAGAAATTTTGGGAAAGCAAGGCTCTGTGAAATTCAATGAAAACGTCAGTTCAACTATATCATTGTGGGAAAATTCTTCTTCTACCAGTCCTTCATCATCTTAAACGAAATTGGGTGAATACATCTCATGTAAAATCTAGGCCTAATATAATCTTGTCGAGGATGACATCTCTTAACTGGCCCATATCGTAACAACGAAATCGACGATATTACTGAAGTACCATTTTTTTTTTTTGAGAAAACGGCTCGAAGGGATTCGTAGATTGGCCTCACCGGATACCGCAGGAGGACACTAACGCTTTTTGGTGATTTTTTCGTAAATAATCTTTGCTGGCTCTGACGATCTTCGTCACATGACGGATAAAAGCTCAGCTCGGAGTCATCGAGACAGTAGGACGGTCTTCTTCGCTCAATTCAACAGACAAGTGTCCAAGGCAACCACCATCCTTCGGTATCCGGTGGAGTCAATCTACGAATCCCTTCCACGCGCCTTCTCAGACTAACTTAAATGTATGACAGTATCAATCTATTAAGAGATCCTTTGAAGCCCAGCCTCTCTTCAACAAAATCGGCGTTATTCATGCACAATTTGATAGTGGTCAACTGAACTTCCTATCTCCCACATGAAGACCATGATGAGAATACAAGACGTTCATATCAAATTGCCAGTTTTGTTGTTGTCGAGCTTACTTCCATTTCGAGTGGAAGTGTTGCGTGAAGAGATTCGAAGGTCGGTTCCACCAGAAAACGACAGCGAATTCCGCTTGACCAGCTGTCGATTGGCTTTACTGAAAGATTCATGCTGACGCTGTTGCCGAGACAATCTCCTTCGATTCCGGTGAAAAGGTGCTAAGCTTTCCTCCTTCATATGACGAACATCATCAGAGCGAGGTACCATCTTCATAACAAGATTTGAGCTAACGAGTCAAGAAAACTTACCGGAAAATCCCTAAAAAGCGGTATATATACCCTACATCTGACCTCTTTGATCCGATATAAAGTGATTTGGTTAGTTACGGTCATATCTTAACTTCGAAACCTGTGTGTGTGTTTGTCAGTGTATGTGTATGTGTATGTGTATGTGCCTGTTTGTGTTCGCTTATGCACGAAACCCGTAGGTGAGTTTTTTTGACTCATTAGCTTAACTTTTGTTGTGACGATGTTACCTTGCTCTGATGATGTTCCTCGGCATATTTTGACCGGAATCGAAGGAGATTGCCCCGGAAACAGCGTC